ATTTCACTTTAGAAGAAAATTAATAAATATAATGTAAAATATGAAAAATTCAAAAAAAAACAAAAAAAAAAATCCTTAAAAATAGAATTTACTATATAAAGGAGTAAAAGTTTCTTAATATTTATAGTATTTCTTATCAATTCAAATTAAAATTAAAAAACTACAAACATTGATAAAAAAAAAACAAAAAAAAACCTTAAAAATAGAATTTACTATATAAAGAAGTAAAAGTTTCTTAATATTTATAGTATTTCTTCTCAATTCAAATTAAAATTAAAAAACTACAAACATTGTGGGCCTTGTTCTTAGAATATTCTTAGCACAATGAGTCAATCTCTTTGCTAAGAACTTATATATCACCAAATTTCATATTAAATACTCTTTGAGTTTCTTTAGGACAACCAGTGTTTAACTTTTGTTAATCTTGGCAGGACTAGGTTTCTTATGTTTGTCCTAGTCATCAAACTACATTTATACCTTTTAAGTTTTCTTAAAGTTCTGAGGTCAACCTTAAGTAGCGTGGTTGAACTTATATTAACCTTAGCTAACCTATAGAGCACGTTGTCCATATGCCAAACTTAAGTCTATCTATTAGCATTCTAATACCTCAGCTTCAATCATATTTATGATGTTCTAAATGACATATTAACACGTTAAGAATATTTACTTTGAACCCTTGTGTGCTTGAGTTAGCTATAGTTTAACTCACTTCAAGGTGGTTTGACCATAATGAACCTAATTAATTTTGGTGTACATTTTTAATCTTATGCATTTTGTATGGATCCCAATTTTTTTTAGGTTATGTTTCACCATTTTTATAGACTTTGCTACTTTTAGTTTCACCTTAAAACCCTTTAGCTAAGTATCAAACCATGTACTCCTGGTGTTACCTAATCATTATCGGTGATGACCTATCTTCTTAAACTAATCCAATGTAGCTTTTCAGCCTCAAGTCTCTTTGCATGTCTAAGTTCTTCATTATCCATCTTATGTCTATCCTAATGATCATAAGTGAGGACACAATCTTGGGCTTTCTTAATATATCATTAACTTTAGGCTCCTTAGATATCATGTAGGCTTACTTAGTAATTTTTAATTTTTTTTTGTTAAAAATATATGTAAAATACTTTGATCTCATTGTGCTTCAATTAGTTGATTGGAATATTCTCTTAATTATACATACTTCCTTAGACTTATTTTGTTTAGCCACATTAGGTGAATTTTTCAGGTTCTCACTCCAAGTTTATTAATTAGAATTTAATCCACTAGCCTTTGCTTAGTCTCACACTGAGACTTGTTTTTACATTATTTTTTGTTTTATTGAGCATAGATAATTTATTAATTTTTTTCAATTATTGCTTTCTTTATCTTCCACACACTTGTTTTACTTGTCCATATTAGGTGAATCGCTTGTCTAACTTTTATGTCTCATTTTTTTTACAATATTTCATGTTTAGTTGTTTGATTAAAATATAAAAATCTATCCTTTTATCTGCAAAATAACCCTCTTTTAGTCTTTAGGTAATCAAACATTTGATTGTGGATGACTTCTATTTTAAGTGACATTATCTGTCATGTCGAGCAATATTTAATTTAATGGGTTTTATTATAATTTTCTTAGTTAAACTTAGGAGGCTTTAGTGGACCTATTTTTCATAAATTTCATGAAAGTTAATTTCTTTTTCTAATTCAATATTGAACGTCCTTTAAACTTAGGGGTGCAATATATACATTGTCATAGAAACTCTAGATGGCAGCATTCGTTTTATGGTGGATAGTATTCATCTATCTGATTCTTCATAATTGTTATAATTACATGTAACCTTTTAATTTAAATTTTAGATGAGATCCTTAACTCGTTAATCATTTAAACAAAAAATAGTCTCTAATTATAAATTGAACCTCCTTTACAATTTATAATGAAATAATTTATTTTTTATGGCATGACATTCATAAGGCTTGACACATTCTCGATGTTGTGTTAGACATATTTTTAAGCATCTAAGATAAGGCATAACTCAATTGTGTTGGATCTTTATTTTAACTTACAACTATAAGTATAAGCTTTTTAACTCACTTTTTAGCTTGTATTATTTTATATGATGCATTTAGATAGAGATATCTATATTATAGACAAAAAAAATCATATTCAAAGTAAGCAATTTAAAAAAAAAATTATATAAATTAAATATTAATATTTTTTAGGTTTATACTATGCTCTGAGTAGATATTATTAACAAGAACAAAATGCCACTTGTTAGAAAGCCATGCCAAGTTCAAAATAAATAAATAAACATTTTTAAGCTATTTTTTATTTTATGAATAAAATAATATAATTTTTTTATCATTTAAATTTAATTTAGGAAAACCATATTAGAGCTTTGAGATGTAGTAGTCGGGTGAGCTATGTTAATAAATCTGATATTGATTCCTCATAAAATTTAGAAGATATATATATATATATATATATATATATAAGCATAAGCTGACATATATTATTTAAAACTCAAAAGCTCATATATATTATTACAAAACTCATTTGTTTTGTACAATTTGTTATTTTTGGTGAATTTATGTTAGGTTTATTTTGTCTTTAAGGACATAAATTTTATACCCAATTGGTAAACAACATAAACTCAATTATAGGACAAGAATTTCAATTCAAAATATTCACAACCTATTCATTGAAGCAACGTTTTTTAAAATCAGTCAATCAATCAATCAATCAATCAATTTGTAACTTCCTTTGTAGAATCAACAATTTCTCCCTATCATTCTCCCTCATTTGGTTCCTAAACCCATCACAATTCTTTTGGCAAATGAATTCGTGATCTAGTGGTTGGAAGCTCATCTCCCACTTAGATGGCTGGAGTTGTATTCACATGTTTAGTGCCCTTAAGGCCTACCTTCAAAAAAAAAAAATCATAGTTCTTTTGGACAATGATTGAGTATCATTATATTTTTCTAAGAGGCAATCAAAAGACTTGACATAAGAATTTGAATGTGACATTATGGTAGGTGTTGGAAAGCTATGATATAATATTTTGTATAATAAAAAAATATGAAAATTTACTTTATTAGAAATTTTATATAGATATATATTATGTTCTTATAATAATACTTCAATCTATAAAAAATTATGATAACAAGCTTGCTTGCTTGATTGTTGACATTATTATATAGACACACACACACACATACATACCAACATACTAATTTTCTATTTGAAACATAATTGGAATCGTTCTTTTTTATAAGAAGATTTAGATTCATATTACTTAATTCTAATGCATTTATACATCTATCAGCTAAATTTCAATCTTTATATATCTATGCAATCTTACTTAGGCATGCATGGAGTGTTTCATTTTCTTCAATTTAAAATAGTGATATTTTCTTATATGACATGAAATAATTGAGTTACACGACATTATTATATAGACACACATACACACACATACATACCTACATATCATACTAATTTTCTATTTGAAACATAATTGGAATCGTTCTTTTTTATAAGAAGATTTAGATTCATATTACTTAATTCTAATGCATTTATACATCTATCAGCTAAATTTCAATCTTTATATATCTATGCAATCTTACTTAGGCATGCATGGAGTGTTTCATTTTCTTCAATTTAAAATAGTGATATTTTCTTATATGACATGAAATAATTGAGTTACATGAATCTTTAAAGTTAAATTTATGTATTAGATATATAAATAAATAAGAATTGAATGGTACATATGTAAAAGACTTTTTTTTGTAGGAATTTACATAGCGCATTTTTTTGTGTTTACATATCTCACTCGTGAACTTTCAAATATACATACAAAACACTCAAATTTTTAATATCACATCAAAATAACACTATTATCATTTTTTTAAGTGAAATAAATGTTTTCATGCACATAATTAAAGTGCCAAAATGCTAGATATATATACACTCTGTAGATCTATACAGGAGTTTTCCCTAAGATATATATATATATCGATACGCTATAGGGAAGGGGTGGAATCTTGTTTATATGTTTACTTTCTTGCAGGGTTTCTTTTACTGTTTGGACCAAGCTTTGTCAACTGCTTAAATCTTTTTGCCTTCACAAGGTTATAACTTGATGGAGCAGTGTCTTCAAAATTAACAGAAGAATAATTCAGTTGAAGAATTATATCCCTCACATCTGTAGCTGGTTTCTATGGATGGAGCAGAATAAGAGGAAGCATCAAGAGGAGCAATATACAACTGATAGAGTTATTACAAACACGAATTTATTTGTAAGGTGCTTAAATGGACTAAAGTTAGCCAGAATACGATTTCAATGGAAAATCTAACTATTGATAATTTTCCTGAGAGGATCAAAGAGACTGTCAAACTGGTTAGATGACTTTTATTAAGATCAATGTGGATGGAATTCATAAGATAGGGGAGGCTGAAGCGGGAGGAGATTTCAGAGACTACAAAGGGTCATATATGCTTGGTTTTGTTGCTCCTGCTATTCCATCAAAGCTCAATTTTCTAAATTGATAGGTGTTCTTTATTTCGTGTTAATTGCTAAGAGGTTGAAAGTTTGGCCAATTATTTTTGAGGTGGATTTCCTAGCCACATAACTTGTATGGGCAATATTCAATGCCCTTGGTATAACATCATATGATGGAGGAAGAGTTCGGCTTTGTTGCCTTGTTTTAATATCAAATTGTCACACTCTAATTGAAGTCAATAAACCTCGAGATTAGTTAGCAAAGCTGAGAGCTATTAGGAATATTGTCATTTTAGTTCTTATAGTCATGAGCATTTTATTTTGTCAAGGGGAGCTTTAATTGATCTTCCTCATATTAGAGTCTCTTCATGAGCTCATGATTTGTAAGCACTGATTGGTCTTAATAAGATCATTTTAGTTTTAATATATATATATATATATATATATGTGTGTGTGTGT